CTGACAGGCCTGTAGTTACCCGCATCTTCCCCTTTTAGTGACTTTTCCAAAAAGTCACTAAAATACAACATACAATACAATACAACCGCTTTTAGTGACTTTTCCAAAGCATGCATGTATTTTCTTGTCTTTGGTAAATGAAAGGGCATTAGAGAGTTAAAAAGGTAGGTTACAGTATGTCACATAACACTCTTAATTTGCTTATTCTGGTTTGTGAAAGCTGACCCCTCTGGTTGTGATTAGGAAATATTTATCCACCCACAGTCATTCAGAGCTATAGTATTTCACAGAATCACAGAATATCAGGAGTTGGAAGGGACCTCAAAAGCTCATCCAGTCCAACCCCTGCCAGAGCAGGATCACCAGAGCAGTCACACAGGAACACGGCCAGGGGGGTTTTGAATGTCTGCAGAGAAGGAGACATTTCAAGAAAAAATACCAGCTCAATGCCAACTACAGTTTCATGCCTTACCAAACTTTTTACCTATTTGACTATAATGTAAGAACTTGTAAAATGTGAAAATTTGGGGTCTTTTAGAGAATATGTATACACACATGAATCATAATTGCTTTGAAGTAGACTAAGATAAAGTTTTTACATTCTCAAAGACCCAAGGGCACAGATAAACTGAACTACAGGTCAACAATAAACTTGGAAATTGAGTCATCACCCACTCAGAATTGTTTTTATTCCTTTGACTAGACTAGGATAGTCTCAAGTTTGCATCAAGTATGGAGAAATAGGTGCATACACTGTAAAGACAGAACATCTCACCTTGAGAAATCTGGCAGTGCTGAAGTTTGCATTCCTGGTTTCTTCAAGAGCATCTTTGTACTTCCAAACAACGTGGTCTGCTAAAACCATCACAAGTGTATCCAACTCAGTCTGAAAGGATTCTGGAAACCTCTGAGTTCGAGAAACCTAAGCAGGGAATAGATCATGACTTGAGAGTGCATGTTGTTGCCCATTAAACCTGAAAACACGTTCAGGCCAAGAATAAAGATGATAAAACACAGGTCATTTGACAAAGAAAATATAATCCCAGAGCTCCATGGATCTATTCTGAGCATAAACCCTAGAAGGAATAAACTGGTCTATAGGAAAGTGGGAAATCCTATCCTCAGATTCCTGCAGAAGTAAACTATGAACATCTTCGATAATCAAGCAGAAAAGAGGTCAAAGCACTGATCTCCAGCTATGTAAGGTTTGCTCAAAGCAGAGTTTCTAGATCATTTATTTGCTGTCTGGCATAAAACAGCAATGCTGAGTAACCAGCAGAAATTAGAGAATTCTCATTCCATTCTGACCTACCCATTACAAAGCTGATGTAACTATATTTTTGGTCCATGAGTTCTGTACAAGCAAGAATAGGTTTGAGCCTAGCAGGTCATATTGTTTTTATCCACAAAAACTTTGTATTTTACAAAGTATAACAGCATTTCTTTTTTTGACCAGTCAAGAAGTCCAAATCTGTGTATTTCCCAGGATTTCACATTTTATATTTTCCCTAAGAGACTGACTGCCTACCTAACTGAGACTAAATATATACTTACCTTTGTTTTGTTTGTATCAACCAAGTGCTGTGCCATTGATTTCAGGATAACTGCAAAGAAGAACCAGGAATGCTGTTCAAAAGAAGGAAAAAAGAGATTAGGAAAAATTATTATCTGATAAATACTTCACGACGCATTAACATTCCTTATAGATGGACTGCATTTCTCAGTAACGCACAACGATAAACTCTACATGACAAATCAATTAAAGAGCCCGAGTGCCATGTATTTGGGTAACAGTCGACCATGTCCTTAGGAAAGCTGAAGCCATCTCGGGCACACTGTGACTGTGGCTCTCTCCATGCAATAAGGAGGCGGCAAACACCACTCCTAGAACCCG